GTTGGCCAGTGTAAGTCGGTTTGTCTCTATGACAGCGTCTACATACCTGCAAATTGATAATACCGCAAACTCACATCTGAAAGCCTCCAACCACCGTCGAGTAGCGGTTTGTGATACCTTGCTCTCGATTCTTATATTAGCGAACAGAGGTTACGTTTAAAGATTTCCTGCGATATCACTTCGGTGGAAGCGGACAGTAAATAAAGTCATTAATGCACACGTATAAAGTCAATGGTTCGTTCAATGAAATTTTTATCACCTTCATGCTCAGGAAACAAAATTTACCAAATGGAATTTATGTTAATTGAAGGAATTTCTGTAAATTAAAGGATAAATAAATACGGATAAAATTTTCATGGTAATTTTTGTTTCCGTAATTTTTTTACGTTTTTACATGGATATGTTTGTTACAGTGCAGGGTCTGAACCAACTGTCAAGCGCCTTTTTTAGCATGACACGGATTAATCCCGATTTTCTGTTAACCATTTGAGCTAGAGGCGTGTCCTTGTCAGACATCCCGGCTAGCACCATTGACAAGAGCTAGATTATGACCTTGTCAGACACACCGCCCAGCACCATTGACAAGAGCTAGATTATGACCTTGTCAGACACCCCGCCCATAGCACCATTGACAAGAGCTAGATCTTGTCCTTGTCAGACACACCACCCAGCACCATTGACAAGAAGAAACCGGAATGGAAAATTTCGAAAAATATTCTCGGCCTACACCGAGATCGAACGTGGTGTTAATATGCTGGCACCATAGTAACCATGCCACACTTTGAAAACAAAATTTTACCTCTAATGACTTGAACTACGGTTGCATCCAATGACATCAGACCAGGTTTAGGATCTTTTGATACTGAACCAAAACATAGCTCTTCTTTTGTAAACATGACGCTCAGAAGGTGACGAGTCACGGATTGTCCACTCTTTGTTTTCTCGAATAATTTCTTGACGTGGACGAGATCTGATGGATATATGAACACACCATACCCATGATAGAGTTCAATCATCTGAAACAAAATAATATAGCTATGTATACAAATAGATGTGTGGGCGGGGAGAGAGAGAGAGAGAGAGAGGGGGGGTGTCAAACCTAGGTCATTTCGTGACTAACATATGATTCAGTACTACTTCAATAATACGCTCGCGATCCCACTCCTTGTCACGTACAGGCGGGGATTCAAAACCGCGCCACGTGACTTAATGGCAGACATTATGATCCAACGCGCATGCTTTAAACCATTCGACAACCCAATCAAAGGATGACGTCACATCTGTCTAAGTGAATGGGTTCGGGGTTCCAACCCAACCGTAACCTCCAACTGTGTTGTATAGTCCTGGGATTGTAATGATACAGGCATCACTCAAAATGAAACAAAAGTGGGGGGGGGGAACTAGGGGGCGTTACTACAAATGAATTATAAATAGGCCTGCTTATTGGGGTGGGGGTGGGGGACTTTACTCAAACTGAAACAACAAATTAACAATGAATGAATTATAAATAGACTGGGGGGTGTTGCTCGTAGGGGTCTTTAGCAGTGGGAGGAAACCAGAGGACTCGGCAAAAACCCACGAGGTTGGACAGGCGACCATACTCCTTGTATTCGAAACCACGCCAGTTGACTCAATGACAGGCCTTATGATACAACGCGCACGTGCTAACCATTCGGCCATCCAACCCCCCGATTTATAAATAGGCCTGCTTACTTTATATTTCTCTGCTGCTCTTTTATTAACTCTACAGGCTCAGGGCAATACGGTGTCTGTAAAAAATATAATAACGACTCGTTAATCAGAATTTACATGTTTTAACGATAGTTTCATATTTTCTGAATAATGGTTTATATTTTCTACACAATAATACTTAGAAATTGTATTATATTTCACTTGAAAATAAAAGCTACATAATGGAAGTGTGGAGGTCTACTTGGTCGAGGCATATTACTTTCCTTGTTTTGAGGTGCCTCTACCTGTCCCAGCAAACATTCAAAATTAAAACATTTTAGTTTTGAAAACTGACTTAGAGGATTATAGGATTGTAAGGATTGTCTCCAAATGAAACGTGGTTTAACGTCCTACTGTTCTGCTACGATTGGTCTTATGAAGACTGGCATACGCCATACAGTGTAGTATGAGGGGATTTTTGCCATGACAGTGGCTCTACAGCCTACTTTTGTATCGAATTCCAACTGTCAAGGGATCTTTTATGTACACACCAATGTGTACACGGGACCGCGGCGTTTCGTCAAAATCCGACCGGCCATACGTTGTTCCGTTGTCCTGCACTACTGACGAGGAGGAACCACGCCGGAAAGACGCGATGAACTTTCTCGGCCAACACAGGGATCGAACATGGGACCCCAGATTAGCGAGCCAACGTCTTACTAAGGCACCATTGCTCCCTAAATGGTCAACAAGATTTACATCAGTGGAGCAAACCATCAGTATTGCTTTCATTCGAGACAAATCTAGCTTTAGCCAGACCATGGCTTAACAAGCTATCGGACTTGTTTCTTCATGATCGTAATAACACTACAGAATCAATGATTTTACAACTTTATTGCTAAGCTGTAATGGCTTTAAATGTTCCTCGTCCTCAATAATAATAGCTGCTAGGAATATCTGAATGAGCTTTGATCCATTTCGCTCTACACCCTAATTTATACCCTCTAATTTCTGTACGTCTTAGATAGCCTTGACGTTAATTTCCATCCCAAATATGGAATAAATCTCTTTATTTCACAGGACTAAAGGAGGAGACATTACATTATTTAGCCTACCAACCATAGGTCAATTAACAGACAGAACTTGATGGATATCTTGACAATGGTTATGATTTTACCAAAATATCACTGGGTTTTTTTATGTATAACTATCTATTCACGTTCATTAAGTACGTGTGATTTGACTCTATAGACAGAGTAAAGTAACAATTTTTCAAAGAACCAAAATTGTCTTAAGGACCAAAGTGTTACACATGTTCCAGTGCGTTTTTTAAAATTTGAGTGAAAAATCTGAATTTTGATAAAACACTGTAGGTATATATAAATGTACATACCTGTGTAGGTATTGACAGGTATATCAACATATCGACTATCTTCCAATTTATTGTTGGCTTTATCCAGCTTCGCTTCTAATTCTCTTATCTGCTTCTGAAGAACCCCACAGTGTTCACAGAAAACTGTTTTGGATGTATTTTCTTTTGAATCTGGGGAATAGTTAAAGATACATTAGTTAAGAGTTTAATAAAGAGTTGGCCATTCTTGCTATAATAATTCAAAATTAGATGATGAAAAACGAAATATTGAAATCGGGACTTAGCCTCGCTTTCCCAATTTTACATTAAATTTTTAAATGGCGAACCGTTCTAATCTAGTTAAAATCTCGAGTATCCGATGCCATCGAGAGTCGATTATGGTCTTGTTTTGTTAATAAATGTGTAATTAATAATTTAGATAACATTTTAGGCCTAAAGAAAAACCTGCAATAGACAGATTTAGCTCTTGCATAATCTATGTTTAATATGATTATTACAATGACATCATTATTAATGTGACGTCATAATGTATGTTTAGTTTAACAAATGTAGTTTAAACAATGCAAGCATTTATTCTACATTATTGCTATCTCAAAGCTGTCCAATATTTAATCAAAAAACATACATGGTTCAAATAATGTGTTAGACATTACGTTTATAGAATACAAACATTTCACTCCAATCCGATTAAAATACAGATCTATATTTCGTTTCGTTTTTGATACTTTCGACGGCCTCTACTATTCGAAGATCTGACGGTAGTGGGGGGTCGCTTTAGGGGTTATATGAGTGTCTTTTCACCCTTTACGTCAGACATTGATTAATCAATCAGCGTTGACGTTTCTATAGTGTTCCATTCACAACACGCCAAGAAGTCGCTGTAACAGGCCGGTTCATTGGCTAATTCCTCACATCAAGCAGACCACCTGTTATATAACAACTCTTCCAGATCGTAGTGTTGTGAAGACAAGTAGAACGAAATTTTGAACTATAAAAAACGAAACGAATAGGACAGTGTTTTAATCAGATTTAAAAGTATGGGTCCTTTTACATCAAAGTCGTACAAGGAAGTAATCCCATCTTAATTTTTATAACCACTGCCCTTAATGTGTCATATTATTTGGGTTTAGACATGTATTTTTGCGACGACCCATCAAGCAAATACATTTATTTGTGAACTTTTCAATACTAAGAACCATTTTCTAAACTGGTCAAGGAAATGAAATGAGTTAGTTCGCCACCGCGGTTAACCAAATAAAATGTTCTGCTCTGACAGGGCTAATGAAAACGGGTTTACGTCATGCAATGTGCTATGAAGGCAATTTTACCCGGACAGCGGCGCTACGGTCTACTCTTATATCGAATTCCAACTGCCATGGAATCTTTTACGTCCTCCAATGACAAGAGAACATTTCTCGGCCAACGCCTGGATCGAACCCGGACCTGCTTGTTAATGCTTCAGCGACTTAAATCACTGAGCCCCCGTGGCCCCGATTTATAAATGACCTGTACAAAATACAAATGAAATGAAATGGGGTTTAACGTCCTACTGTCCCGCTCCGAACTGGGCTAATGAAGACGGGCATTCGCCATACAGTGTGCTATGAGGGAAATATTGCCCGGACAGCGGGGTTAAGGCCTACTCTTATATCGAATACCAACTGTCATGGGATCTTGTACGTGCACGCCAATGTGTACACGGGACCTCAGTTTTCCGTACCATCCGAACGACTAGACGGCTGTCCTTGTCAGACCCTCATTCCTGCACCACTGACAACGGGAAACCACATCAGAACATCCTGATGAACTTTCTCGGCCACTGCAGGGATCGAACTTGCGACCTCCAGCGGCTTACCCACTTAGCCACCGCAGCTCCTAAAAGGTTTGTCTAAAGGTACAAACAATACACTGATGGAAAGGTTTAACATCGTTAGTTTCCTATAACATAGAATATACATTAAATATACATGTACCTAATGGAAGACCTAACTCTGCCTGTACATTGATATCCATGAAGTTTACAATGTTCTTCCAGGTCAAAATATTGCTCAAAGCAAATTTGACATAATGTACATTGATATAAAGTACTTGCAATAGATTCGCTTTCTTTAACATTTTGTCCTATGATAGGAGATTCTTCATATTCCATATGTATTTTACAATGTTCTTCTAAATCAGGGTATAAATCAAATTCTCTTTCACACAAGTTACACTGAAAATAATTCAAGTTATCAATTTCCTCTTCTTTAACATGTATCTTGTCGAGTTTTTCCACATCAATTTTTTTTCCTTTAACATGTTTCTTGTGAAGTTTTTCCACATCAATTTTTTCTTCTTGAACATGTCTTTTGCGGAGTTTTACCGCATTATCAATATCGTCTTTTTTAACATGTCTTTTGCGGAGTTTTACAGCATTATCAATATCTTCTTTTTTAACATGTCTTTTGCAGAGTTTTACAGCATTATCAATATCGTCTTTTTTAACATGTCTTTTGCGGAGTTTTACAGCATTATCAATATCTTCTTTTTTAACATGTCTTTTGCGGAGTTTTACAGCATTATCAATATCGTCTTTTTTAACATGTCTTTTGCGGTGTTTTACAGCATTAGCAATTTGCCCCGTTTTAACATGTCTTTTGCGGAGTTTTACAACATTAGCAATTTGCCCCGTTTTAACATGTCTTTTGCGGTGTTTTACGATACTGTCAATTTTTTCTCCTTCAACATGGATCTTCTTGTTCACGTGTAGTTCATAGTGAAGATCTAGATCACTGTACTCTTTAAAAATCTCATCACAAAAAACACAATGATGGAATGTTTTAACATTATTAGTTTCCTGAAATATACGAAGGTTATAATATCATTAGTTTCCTGAAATATGTAAGTTATAACATCATTAGTTTCCTGTAATATATAAAAGCTATAACATCATTAGTTTCCTGTAATATATAAAAGTTATAACATCACTAGTTTCCTGTAATATATAAAAGCTATAACATCATTAGTTTACTGTAATATATAAAAGTTATATTATTAGCTTCCTGTAATGTATAAAAGTTATAACATCATTAGTTTCCTGTGATAAGTTATATTATTAGTATCCTGTAATATATAAAAGTTATAACATCATTAGTTTCCTGTGATAAGTTATATTATTAGTATCCTGTAATATATAAAAGTTATAACATCATTAGTTTCCTGTGATAAGTTATATTATTAGTATCCTGTAATATATAAAAGTTATAACATCATTAGTTTCCTGTGATAAGTTATATTATAAGTATCCTGTAATATATAAAAGTTATAACATCATTAGTTTCCTGTGATAAGTTATATTATTAGTTTCCTGTAATATATAAAAGTTATAACAATGTTATGTATTGAGAGAAAGTGGTTTTAACATCCACTCAAAACAAACTAGGTCATTCCTTGAGCAGTAGGAGCGAACTGGCTGAATGGTTCATTGAGTCATGATGTGGTTTTGAATCCCTGCTTGTACGTGAAAAGGAGAAAAGTCCCCTGTGGGTCATTCCATGTCAAGTGCTAAACCCTATTTCTCTCTCTTCAGGGATCACGTGGCTAAGTGGGTAAGACGCTGGCTTGCTAGCCTGGAGGTGGGGTGTTCGATCCCTGCATTGGCCGAGAAAGTTCATCCATATTTTCCAGCGTGGTTTCCCCTTGTCAGTGATGCAGGACGGAAAGCCTGACAAGGACAGCTGTCTAGTCGTTCGGATGGGACTAAAAACCGAGGTCCCGTGTACACATTGGCATGCACATAAAAGATCCCTTGGCAGTTGGAATTCGATATAAGAGTAGGCTGTAGGGCAAAATTTCCCCTCATAGCTCACTGTATGGCGTATGCCCGTCTTCATTAGCCCAGTTTAGTAGCAGAACAGTAGGACGTTAAACCCCATTTCATTTCATTTCTCTCTCTTCGATTCTTCTACAACCTTTGTCAGTAGGATGCACTATTCCTGTACAATAATGGAAACAAGACTTTAGAGAGAGAGGGAAACTGGGTTTAATGCCCACTCGACAAAAACATATGGTTTAATTTTATTTCAATAATTCGATTCCCCGTAGGGGTCTTTAGCAGTGGGAGGAAACTGGAGGACCCGGAGAAAACCCACGAGGTTGGACAGGCGACCCTACTCCTTGTCACGTACAACTGTTGACTCAATGACAGGCATTATGATACAGCGCCCACGTGCTTACCAGGGACGTAAAAAAAATTTGGAATCCACTAGATGGGCTACTAGTCTACTGTCAGACACTAGCTCGGCATTAATTTCCACTAGTCCGTAGTTCGACAAGGTACAAGCTTTGATCTTCAATATTTGGGCGCCTGTTTTGTTTTGTTACCTGCCAACCTATGTTTTTGAATAAAGATCGTAGACTTCATTGCCTAACAATTAAGGATGTAAACGGCTACTCAGTTTTTTGTAATATATCACGGGAAATTGACGTCTATAAATTCCCACTTGAAGTTTTGTTGTATAAAGAATACGGTGCGTTATGTTATTGTAAGTACTCACTGCAAAGCATGAGACAGTCTCGACTGATTGACAAGTTAATTGTTTTACAGTATTTATTAACTTGGTCACTCTATAAACAGTCTCAAAAGGAAATCAGTTTGATGTGCTGACATAATATTAAAATAGACAGGATAGTAAAATTGTTTACATTATCACTCGAGCACGATGCTGTGTGTCGATAGGGTCAAAGTTGACGACACATGAGTTACTGGTACCATTGAGCATGCCATGTGCAACGAACACGTGTAGTAAATTCTTTGGAAATACCGGACATGTTAAATAATCAAAATTATTTTGTATTTGAAAATCCAATGGCATGCTTTCAAATATTTATGTCAAAACCAATCTTATAAAATATTATGTAGGCTTTTTTTAAAAAAAAATCAACCTGATTTCAACTGGTGAATACGTGACTTGTCAAAGAGTGCAAGGTGGAGAAAAATGTCAAGAATGAATGAATCGACGAGGTACTAAAAATGTCCATACTGCCCTAGGTTTTAGACAGAAAATCTATTGTTATAATAGAGTTTTGTGTGGAATTGGAGAAATAAATGTAGGATGTTTTTACAGTTTATTTATCTATATCTCTAGATTAATTTACAAACCAGTAAAAGGGCACTAGCCCAGGACTAGTACGGTTAAATAGATCACTAGCCTGTAAGTTAATTTTGGTAGGCCCGGGCGTCGGGGTATAGATTGTTACAAGCCTGCTTCAACTGGGCTTATGAAGACGGGCATAAGCCATACAATCTTCTATAAGGGAAGGATTGTCTGAAAAAATACTGATGAAATAAAATGGGGTTTAACGTCCTACTTTTCTGCTTCGACTGGGCTAACGATGATGGGCATATGTCATACAGTGTGCCATGAGGGCAATTTTGCCCGGACAGCAGCGCAAAAGCCTACTCTTATATCAAATTCCAACTGCCAAGGGATCTTTTATGTGTGCACCAGTGTGTACACAGGACCTCAGTCTTTTGTCCCCATCCTGCACCACTCACAAGGCGAAACCACGTCGGAAACAGCTGATGAAATTTCTCAGCCCCAAAAAAAAATATACAACAAAAAAAAAACATGAACTGCTTTTCTTTTTTTGTAGATAAGCTTACATGTAGATATCAAACATACCAGTTGATCTGGTGATCCTTTAAGGAGTTCATCTCTTGAAGCAGGAAGGGGTTGATCTGGTGAAGCAGCAAGGGGTTGATCTTGTGATCCAGGAAGGGGTTCATCACGTGATCCAGGAAGAGGTTCATCTCGTGATCTCGGAAAGAGTTCATCTCGTGATCCAGGAAAGGGTTCATCTCGTGATCCAGGAGGAGGTTGATCTTGTGATCCAGGAAGGGGTTCATTTGTTGAATCAGGAAGGTGTTCATTTGGTGAATCAGGAAGGGGCTTATCTGCAATGCTATCACGCCATTTACGCCAATGTTGTTGTAAATTTTTAATCAATTTGCTCCTTTTTCTTCTAGGCATTGTGATAGTTTTTCCTTATCAAACTTGTTCAGTTTGTTTTATCTAAAATAGAGAAAAAAATATTTCTAAATGTTTGAAATGAAATCAAGATTAATGTCCTACTGTTCTGTTCCGACTGGGATAATTAAAATGGGCATATGTCATACGGTGTGCTATGTAGGAAATTATGCCCGAATAGCGGCCTACTCTGATTTGGAATCAAACAGACAAGTGTTCTTTTATAGGCTCCCCGTCCCCATTCTGCACCAGTGACTAGGGGGAACCCTGTGGAAAATCCATGTTAACTGTCTTGCCCAGTGCAAATCGACTGATCTGTCCAATATCTGCTACTGCACCACACAACAACCGTACATGTCAGATCGAGTGAATGGATCCAGGAGGTCGGCTGTAAAAGTCCAGAGAAATGAAAGGAAATGGAGTTTTTACGTCCTACTGTTCTGCTCCTATGCTGGGTTAATGAAGACGGGCATACGACATACAGTGTGCTATGAGGGAAATTTTGCCCGGGCAGCGGCACTATCGCCTACTTCCAACTGCCAAGGGATCTTTTACATGCATTCCAATGTATACACGAGACCTCAGTTTTTCGTCCCATCCACATGACTAGACAGCTGTCCTTGTCAGGCCCTCCGTCCTGCATCACTGACAAGGGGGAACCACGCTGGAAAATCTGGATGAACTTTCTCGGCCAATGCAGGGATCGAACACCCGACATCCAAGCCAATGAGCCAGAGTCTTACCCACTTAGCCACATGATCCCTGAAAGTCCAGAGAGAGAGGAGAGAGAGACAGAGAGAGAAATGGGGTTTAACATCCACTCGACACAAACTAGGTCATTTCGGGACAAACATATGCTTAATTTTTTTCAATAATTCGCATGCACGTAGGGGTCTTTAGCAGTGGGAGGAAATCAGAGGATCCGGAGAAAACCCACAAGGTTTGACAGGTGACCCTACTCCTTGTCACGTACAACTGGGGACTCAAAACCACGCCAGTTGACTCAATGACAGACTTAATGATACAGCGCGCACGTGCTAACCACTAAGCCATCCAACCCCCCTGAAAGTGAGAGAGAGAGAGAGAGAAATGGGGTTTAACCTCAACTCGACTCAAACTAGGTCATTTCGGGACTAACATATGGTTCAATTTTATTTCAATAATTCACTTGCGCGTAGGGGGTCTTTAGCAGTGGGAGGAAACCGGAGGACCCGGAGAAACCCCACGAGGTAGGCCAGGCGACCCTACCCCTTGTCACGTACAACCGGGGAATCGAAATCCCACCAGTTGACTCAATGACAGACTGTATGATACAGCGCAGCGCGCACGTGCTAACCATTCGGCCATCCAACCCCCCCATTTTTTTTAAGTGAATTCCGGTGTTTATATGTTTTTAAAAGTGAATTCCGGTGATCATCGGTGTTTTTCAATTATTTATTATTAATATTAATGCAAAATATATGTAAAGAGGTAGGCCTTGGGGTCAAATTTTGATATTTGCAAAGTGAATTCCGGTGAATTCCAGTGATTTAGTATCCGCTCAAAATCTAAACAAAACAACTCGATGCAGCCAAATGTTGACAACTTGTTTGCTACTTTCAGCTGACAGCAAAATTCACAATTTTCAGTTACCTGTACTGCTAACACGTTAAACTTACATATCATATCCATTTTTTTTTTCTCAAAATATTTTTTTACTGTTTATTTTTTAACGAGATTTCCAAAAACTCTACTGCAAACCGATAACTGGATCTTGACCGATCTGTAGAATATCTGTCAGTGTTTATACCCACAAATCTAACCCTAACCCTTCAGAATAGTTTTAGCCACAATCCACCGTTGTTACAGCTTCAATTTGTACGTTTGACATGTAATTTATAAACCTAACCCTAACCCTCGAGAAGATATTCTCCAGATGACACAATGATCTAGTATTATTCCTTTGGCGAACTCTAGCAAATTCAAATTTGAAACACAGAATTTCACACGAAACGAAATTTATCTATTTTTCAGTTATTTTCAATATTAAGTCATTGTAGTTATCTAATGTTGGCCTACCATGCCCAAAAATATTCACATTTGGTTAAATGTGCCGGAAGGACATGGTGCCGAAAACACTGCAACATTAATTATATAAAATTATATTTCGTTTCGAGTAAAATTTATAGGAAGATAGGCACAAAGGGTTTAATCTAATTGATAAGGCCAACTTCAAGTTTGGCCAAAGGTCACGAGATGTAAACAGGGTTAACACTATAATCCCAACCCTAACCCGAACCCTGGACATAGCCCTAACCTACAATCTCGTCAACAATCACGCGCTCTACTTATTACATCCCAGCAACATCGACGAGAATTGAGTTGACCTTAAGAATAAGATCTAGCCGTGGCAAATCTAGTTTCATTTTGTTAGCACAGTTTTATTTATTTGGTCACAGACCACTAAAGATATCCCCATTGACAATGTTAATTCTCGTATCTTAGAGAGATGGAGCAACATGTGGAAACCCCTTGATTTACTTCATTCTCAGCCAAGTTATCATTGTTTGTAGTTTTGACAAGATGTATGCACAGTGTTAACCAGGGCACTGATAGTGATATAGCCTGATCGGGATTTTTAAATTAAATTTTTAAATGGGGAACCGTTTTAATCTAGTTAAAATCTCGAGTATCCAATGCCATCGAGAGTCGATTAATGGTCTTGTTTTGTTAATAAATGTCTATTCAATAGTTTATATAATATATAACATTTCACTCCTATGACATCATTATTAATGTGACGTAATAATGTATGTTTAGTTTAACAAAATGTTCTGTTTAAACAATGCGAACATTTATTCTACATTATTGCTATCTCAAAGCTGTCGAAAATTTAATCAAAAAACATACATGGTTCGAATGTGTTAGACATTACGTTTATAGAATACAAACATTTCACTCCAATCCGATTAAAATACAGATCTATATTTCGTTTCGTTTTTGATACTTTCGACAGCCTCTACTATTCGAAGATCTGACTGTAGTGCGAGGTCGTTTCAAGGGTCATACGAGCGTCTTTTCACCCTATGACGTCAGACATTGATTAATCAAGCAGCGTTGCGGTTTCTAGTGGTTTACCACAGTTCCATGCACGGAACGCTGTAACAGGCCGGTTCATTGGCTAATTCCACAAATGAAGCAGAGCGCCTGTTATATAACAACTCTTCCAGATCATAGTGTTATGAAGACAAGTAAAACGAAATTTTGAACTATAAAAAACGAAACGAATAGGACCGTGTTATAATCAGATTTAAAAGTACATGTCTGGGTCGTTTTACAAGAAAGTCATCCATGGAAGCAATCCCATCTTAATGTTTATAAGCCATGCCCTTAATGTATCATATTATTTGGGTTTGGACTTGTGTTTTTGCGACGACCCATCAAATATTGACGTATACATTTATTCATGAACTTTTCAATTCTAAGAATCATTTTCCAAACTTATCAAGGAAATGAAATGAGATTGTTCGCCACCGCGGTTAACCAAATAAAAATGTTCTGCTCTGACAGAGCTAATGAAAACGGGCATACGTCATGCAATGTGGTATGAAGCAATTTTGCCCGGACAGCGGCGCTACGGTCTACTTTAATATCTAATTGCAACTGCCATGGGATCTTTTACGTCCTGCAATGACAAGGGAAAACCACACCGGAAAATCTCGACGAACGTTCTCGACCAACACCGGGAGCGAGTCTTCTTTGTCACACTATCCGTGCTACACCACTTATAAATCCTATATGGACATTTCTCACCCAACACCGGGAGCGAGTCTTCTTTGTCACACTATCCATGCTACACCACTTATAAATCCTATATGGACATTTCTCGGTCAACACCGGGATCGAACCCGGACCTGCTGGTTAATGAGTCAGCGACTTAATCACCGAGCCCCCGGTTTATAAATGACCTGTATAAAATATAAATGAAATGAAATGAAATGGGGTTTAACGTCCTACTGTTCTGCTCTGAACTGGGCTAATGAAGACTGGCATGCGCCATACAGTGTGCTATGAGGGAAATTTTGCCCGGACAGCGGCAATACGGCCTACTCTTATATCGAATTCCAACTGTCAAGGGATCTTTTACGTGAACGCCAATGTGTACACGGGACCTCGGTTTTTCGTCCAATCCGAACGACTAGACTGCTGTCCTGCATCACTGACAAGGGGAAACCACGCCGGAAAATCTGGATGAACTTTCTCGGCCAATGCAGGGATCGAACACCCGACCTCCAGGCTAGCGAGCCAGCGTTTTTTTTTTGTAAATATGTTTATTCAATAAATATATAATCATACATTTTAATCATGGAACAGCACAAAATATTCTTAATCAATTAAAAGCATTATTTTTTTATTTTATTTTTTATTTTTATTTTTTTAAAAAAACAAGAAAAATGAAAAGAAAAGAAATACATTCCTGAATCAAAATACAAAACCATTGACACATTAACACATTGATGAAATAATACATCAATAAATCAATGGATCCATACATTAATTCATAAATTTATTTAAAGATGTTTTGGCTATTTTGATATTCAGTAATGGTAATCTAAGTCAATACGAATAGTATAATTTATAGTTTAAAATTAAATATTAATTACTTCATCGTTTTCTAATCATTTATATTAATTGGATTCAGTCGGATTAAAAACGGGTTTGTCATTAAATTGTCGCGTCAACAAAATGGCCGCAGGCGTACTTCATAGCGAGTAACATAGATCGATGGAATTTCTATATTGTATATATCTTTGTAAATACTGAGCAAAATTGAACCAACTTATAACTGATATTACAATTAGATATTTGTCTTCCACCAGCGAGCCACGGTGGCTGAGTGGGTAAGACGTTGGCTCACTGACCTGGTGGTCCCGTGTCAACACAGAGAAAGTACCCCAATGTAGTTCCTCCTTGTCAGTGGTGCAGGACTGCAGACCTGACAAGGGACAACGTATACTGGCTCGGGTGGGACGAAAAACCGAGGTCCCATGTATGTGGCGTGTACGTTAACGATCCCATAAGAATAGGCCGTGGCGCCAATGTCCGGTCTCAATATCCCTCATGAATCTGGATTATCTAGTTTAGGTAGCGTAAACAGAATTAAACCGGTAGCTGAAAGAAACGGCAGTGGCACCTGAATTAAATGGAGGTATGGTCTTAATCATCTAAATTTCACATATAAAAAATTATATAAAGTAGTTTTTAAATTTAAATCATTGAAGTCACTTTATATAGAAAATACAATTTATGATCCAATGTTCCTCTGATTTTTAAGCATTCCTGGCTGATAATGAAGTGTGCACCTTTCCGGATTTTGAACATGGCTCTACACGTGATGAGATTCCACTTGAATCGGACGAATCGGAAGAGGAATCTAAACGAGAGGAGCCTGCCTGTAGTTAGTATTTAAAAATGGAAATCATCGAAATTATATTTTCTACAGGGGCTCGCTGTGGCTAAGTGGATAAGACGCTGCCTTAACAGGTTTACAATAGCCCTTTTCAATGTTAAATTTTAAGAGCACTGGAAGAACTGGACTTATATGATGTCTTGTGATAAAAAAAACTGGAAAGTAGAGTCTTGTATAGAGAGAGAGAGAGATAGGGAGAGAGAGATGGGAGATAGATAGAGAGAGAGGGAGAGAGAGAGAGGGAGAGAGATAGAGAGAGAGAGATGGAGAGAGATAGAGAGGGAGATATGGAGGGAGAGGAGATAGAGAGAGGTGGGAGATAGAAAGTGTGTTTAACGACCACTCGACACAAACCAAGTTATTCGGGACTAACATGGTTCAATCTTATTTCAATAATTCGCTTGCGCGTAGGGCTCTTTAGCAGTGGGAGGAAACCGGAGGACCCGTAGAAAATCAACGAGGTTGGACAGGCGATCCTATTCCTTGTCACGAACAGCCGGGGAATCGAAACTACACTAGTTGACCTTATGATACAACGCACACACGCTAACAATTCGGCCACCCAAGACCATCGATGTGTGCTATGGGGGGGCAGCTTTGTCAGACAGGCGGCGATACCATCTGCTCTTAACCAATTCCAATAGTGGTGGATTCTTTTACATGCACAATGTCCTCGTTTTTTAGACCTATCCGATCGACTATACACTGTTCTGGAGCCACGTTGGCTCATTGAGTAGGACTTTGGAAGACGTTGGAAACGTACATTCTTATTTGCCAGTGGTGTATCCGACGGACCCTATTCATTGTCACGTCCGTTGTTAAAAGATACAGATTAGATTTTTTTTTATCTTTTTTTCAAAGTAAGGAGCCAGGGTAGCTAAGTGGGCGAGACGCTGGCTCGCTATCCTGTATGTCGCGTGTTCGATCCCTGCACTGGCCGAGAAAGTATGTCGGGATTTTCCTTCGTGCTTTCGCCTTGTCAGTGGTTGCAGGACCATGGCTTGACAAGGAAAACTGTCTAATCATTCGGGTGTACACATTGTCGTGTACGTAAAAGATCCTTTTGCAGTTGGAATTCGATATAAGAGTAGGCCATAGTGCCGCAGCCCGGGCAAACATTCACTTTTAGCACACTGTATGCCCGTCTTCATTATCCCGGTCGGACTGGAACAGTAGGACCTTAAACACCATTTCATTTCATTTTTTCAAAGTATGTAAATATAAATGTGCCAGAAAATTATTTAAATATTTGAAAATAGAAATGAACGTGCGTTTCAGTGATACCTAACATGATATCTAGAATTCGTATTAAGATCATACGAGACGAAGGATCGAGACTTATCGAGTAGAGCCTAGCATTACGACGGCTGTATTAACATATTCTATATCTATCTTAACACATCACTGGTTTGAACGAATCAAATAAATAGTCAGACCTTTAATTTAAAGCTATATGTAAATTTCGAAATCCAAAATGGCAGCATTATAAAACGGTCG